GTTGCGACGACCAACTTCCATTGTTAGAAATAAAGCAAGAACTTAGGAACATCTTTTTATCAAATTGAGCTAGAATTATGGACTTTTTATTGTTAGCAAGACATAAATATATACTTTGTCAATTATAATATGATCACTTTACTGATTTAAATTAACTTTGAGAGCCTCATTTTGATTTTGATCAAGTGTTATATGCGTATTGCGTGTTCGCTTGTGCAAATGCTCCGGTGTGTTATCTAATATCACTGAATTAGAAATTAGGATTCCATCTCCTGGGGATCGCGGACATAGTACAAGAAGAGATAGACAGGGGTTTACAACCTTTTTTTAAAAGATCAATTCCGAGAAATAGAAGAGAAAATCACAACACAATCGGTTTGCATGCTTGTTTTGGAATCTCAGAGGTTTACAACCTTTTTCCAAATTATTATTTTCAAGAAAGCGATGTAAGAATCACAAATTGGTTTGCATACTTGTTTGGAATCTCAGAGGTTTAGATCCATTTTTTCCAAATTATTATTTTCAAGAAATCGATGAGAAAATCACAAATTGATTTGCCATACTTTTGAAATCTCACTAATGCTTGAAATGAAATTTCGAATTTTGTAATAAAGATACTCATATTACAACTTACTAGCTACTACTTCTCATTACCTGAAACCACTTCCATTAATCGAGTTGTAGATTACCTGAACTTTTGCAAATATCTGCATATGGTGTTACACTTACCATTAAATACAATTAAAATATTTTACTTACCAATATAGGGATTTATTCAAAGGTTTCTTCCCCCTGTCTGGTCGTAATCAGTATGGCAGCATTTCCGTGCGGTAGTCAGTTTCTTGCATGTCTCGATAATGAATCCGTTGGGGGCTTACAATTTGCAATACACCCTATACAAAAGTAATAAAATCCCATAACTTCTAATGGAGATTACGATGGTACATATAAGATATAAATTCTGAATTCTCTTAATATAAATAAGGCCTGTTTAATGACTTCCTTGGAGCAAAGAAGTATGGTGAAAAGTTTATTACCTACAGTGGTAAAACTCACACATTTAATATAGAAGTTTATAAAAATTACAAAAATATATTTTTAGATTTTTGAATTATTTTTTTCTCCAATTATAAGGGGGCATCCCTTATGTCCAATTTCCAATAAAACTTTATCTTTTTCTTGATCGTTGTCATTTTAGTACTTGGGGCTGTGGATGATATCATTTCAATTCTAACTTGGTACAATTGTTGATGCCTCACTTTTTAAATGTTTTTTTCGATAGCTACTTAGTAGATTAAGAAATTTAAATTGATTAAGAAGTAATCGCATGTACCATAAAAATTCTATTTATTTAATTTTTAATTAATTTGACTTCAATATCTGCTAATTGGAAATAATTTGGATGATACATTGTTAGGCCATATTTGTTGATTATGACTAACGATAGCAAAGATGGGCAATAAAGATCATATATATTTATTAATATTTGAACATGCATTTATGCGCGAAATAAAACCATATAATGTGAATGCTCTGACAGTAAATGGTATATTTTATTACTCCATTATTATCTTATCTGGATTTATCCGGTTGCTCTAGCATATAAAACTGGTTGATGATTATTTTTATTATTCCGCGAAATTTGATATTTCCAATATATTTAAAGGTCGTCTTAAACTTCGGCAGTAATTTTTTATTTATACATTAGCGATTAATTTATAGTTGCGTTTAATAGGCATGTTCATATGCACATGTTTAGTCATGATCAGGAAATATAGCTTATACATAATAAATAGTTAAATAAAAGTAGTTTCGAACACGCAAATGTGAGAAAAACGTTCATAAAATAACAGAAACACGTGTATTGACTGTTAAATCAATAATAGAGTGAAATGGAAAATTTATCTACTATGCAATTATGCCAACAATACATATAGTCATGAGTACTTTCAAGTAGTTTCTAGAGTTTAAATTGTATTATATTATTCTAGAGTTTAAATTATATTATGTGATCAATAACCGTTATACAATCAATTATGATGAGCACTAGATAAGTTGAACATCTTTTAAATGAGACTTCGTGTTCATAATTAAATATATAAAGTGCATATGCACAAGGTTTTTACAGGATTTTATTTTGTGGATGGTAAACGACTTTATTTTTCATGTGAGAAGTCATTTATAAAAATACTTTTATAGATATATCTGTATGACTTGATCTAAATGATATGATAACACATCTTTTTATTATTTCAGGTGAAGGTTGTGTGGACAAGCCACTAGCTACTTTATGGCGAAACTACACGCAGAGTTCCCGTCCCAACGTTGCTATGACGGTCAGCGTTGCCACAAGCGGTCTGAAAGCTACCACCAAACAGCATGGGCTCACCGAATATTGGGCGCACCGCATCACCCATTGCAGCGCACCTGCCGCCTATCCTCGACTCTTCTGCTGGGTTTATAGACACGAAGGACGAAAACTTAAACACGAACTTCGATGTCATGCTGTATTCTGCTCTCGTGAATCAGCTGCTACTGAAATCGCTAATTTGCTTCAGCAAAACCTAGCAAGAGCACTTAGTGAATTCCGCAGAGAGAAAATTTCCAGACAGAACGCTCGCTTAAGCTTAGCCAACAGCGTTTACGACAACCCTAGTCTACCTCGAAGAAAGATCTTATTGAGCGTTGGTGGTAATAATTACAGGCCGCCTCTCGAGCGTTCCAAGAGCGCTCCCAAATTGGTGTCGATAGAAGAGAATATCGAGGAAGAACAGGAGGAAGACGAAAGCCGCCTAGCACCGCAAGAGCGTTGCTGCCAAAATAACGATATTTTTCCCTCGTACACCTTAGGCAGACGAAGGTGTCCGAAGGGACATTCCATAAGGAGACACAGACCAAAGGTACAATCTTCAAAGAATCTCAATTCCGAAATAGTTCCTGAAAAATCTAATGAAAATGAAGATAAAGACGAAATTCATGAATCGCGCGTCCACGAAGAAGAAGACGATGCCTTCTTCGAGTTGATAACCACCCAACCACCTAGTATCACCATGGCAATTATCTCTACTGGTGATAGTGATGAAGGTGGTTCGATATCGAGTGGCTGTGAAACCGCAAGTACAGTAACAGCTTCCGATGTAGAAAATGGTAATCACGAAAAACGAACGAATTCTAGACCAACTTCCGACGGAGAAATAACTCCAGAGGCAGAAGTGCAATTGGAACCATTTGGAGAAACAGGAGATGAAAAAGAATTCAGAAGAAGTTTCAGAAAAAGTTTTAAGAAGAGTATTAAACGCAATGTCGCTGTCTCTGAAGTAGTTGAATTTATTGAAGGACATACAATAGTCACAGGTTTTGAAACAACTACTGATGAACATTCAGATGCTCAATTGGATAGCGATGGTGAATTCAGCGATGAATCAGGATACGTGGAGTTATTAGATGCCAAATGTAAAACAATAGTACATAACCAACGGCCGGTACTTGTATAAATCAATATATATATATATATATATATATATATATATATATATATATATGATTTCTTACAGCTTAAATTTTGTGATGAAAATATTTTTATTATATAAAGGAACTATTTGTAAGAATTGTATATAGTAAGATTGTTTAATTGAATGTTATGTGTATGTGGCTGCTAATATTCCTTGTTTAAATATTTAAGCAGCATTTATGTATATTTGTAGTGTCATTGTGCATTGTTGATTTTTTTGTTAATTTTAATTTTTGTATAGTGTTACTTACTTTTAAGTTTATTGTACATTATTACTTATTTATGAATGATATTATTAGAATTTTTATCAAGAAAAAGTGACCATAAATTAACATATTTTTCATTATTTTAAAATACAAAATGGTAATGATTGTTTTACTCTTATTGAAATATTTTAGCTTAAATTTTAAATGTTTATGTTAAATTATATATTTGGATAGCACTCATTATACAGTTATTATGTAAAGAAAAATTATTTGTCAAAATAAAATATCATTAAGGCATCACAATATGAATAATGAAAAAAATCACCAATAAAAATTGTAGATGATATATTTTCTGACTGTAAACATTAAAAATTAGAGAGATATACCTGAATAATTGTATTTAATATTGTACCTATTTAGTTAATACAAAATAAATTCAAATAAAAACTGTTATTAATCTTAACATAAAATACAAAAAGAAATGCTGCATATTAATTTTGAATTTATTAATCTTGGCCATAAAATAACAAAATAAACTATATACAATAAATGAAAACATACAATATAAATAAACAAGGCATTTTTAAGACTTTTAAATATATAAATAATACAATATAGAATTTTGAACCATTTATATTTTATCACATATGATTTAACCCCTGTCTGCTGCTTGCAGAATTCTTAAAATATATATGAATAGATTGACAATATCTAAGTACAAGTTAATTGTGGCCAAAATATACTCTTCTGGTGATAATGTCGTCATCATAACATGCGTGTCATAAAGCAAAAACAAGCTGAATATTAGTGCACCAAAACTGCATAACACTAATTCAAAAATAGTTGAATGAGTGAATATCTGAATGATACCACCAACCAATAAGCAGCAAAGTCCAGTAAACAATCTAAAATCATAATTATAGCTTAAAATATTATAGGTAATGCTAGATTGAAAATATTATGAAATACTAACGCTGCTGGGAGCATTGATAAATCCAGTTTGTTTTGTAATGTAAAGAGTGTTATACCAATAACAACACACAGAGTAATTGCAATAGCTTGAAGTACTAAACTAGCTTTAAAATGTGTTACTAGCACACCCACACTGATGGAGTTTGTAATTGTCTAAAAAGTTAGTCATAATTAATATTTATACGCATTGAAGCTACAATTTCCAGGAATATTGAACGGAATACTCACGAAAATTGTTAACAGAATAAAATTAGTTGGTGTTTCCTTTCTCTTGATATGAAGAGCAATCAGCACACCAATGCTACTGATCATGCAGACTAATACGAGCCAGTCACTAAAGAAACGCATTAATAAAAACAAATACATTATTGCAATAATGTGTATTAATACAATTAGTGATACAAACTTTGCTTTAACAATTCCTTGTACAGGCTCAATTTGGCAGGCTATGCCCACCAGCAAGCTCAATAACAACTGAACTGTAAGTAGTCCATAGACTTTTCGAATGAATCCAAGTCTCACACGAACAGATGCATTAATAACGTTATTGTTATATGCAAAGTCATTCTATGCATAGGAGTCATAATTATATAACTTAGTACATAAGATATTAATTTAAATTTTTCTATATGCTATATTACCTCGATTGAACCTTCTTTTCCACCACCTTCTAGGTCATCTTCAGCAAACATAAGGGGTACGGTTGCCATATTTAATTCTAGAAGATATTAAAGGGCCACTTAAAAATTTATTATTTTTTCGATATAGTTTCCTAAATTATGCTATTTTTATAGAAAAAACAATTTTTATCACAAACAGATTTTCAATTTATTTTGACAGGAGCTTGACACATCACTGTAATGAAGTTTTCTCATAATAACTTAATTTATTAGAATGCCAACATTATAAATAAAACAAGGAAATTGTGTTGTTGATTAATTTGTTTTCATACTCAAATTTATTCACATTGCATTTCTATTTAATTACATTATAAAGAAATTTGTTTTAGAAAACGCTGTCTTTGAAAATTGATATACGTGTCAAAAAAAATTCGCTGCCTTAACATACTTATATACTGAAGTTGTCATTGAAAATGTTTAGCTGTCAAAAGGTCGTATCGCCATTTTTTGTGCATCGCATTCGTGTCGAGTTCTAGTGGTTAGTTTTCTTTGTGTAAGTTTTATTTACAATTAGTACTTTTTATTGTTATTTTTATATTATTTTTCTTTGCACTTTAGTTTTGATAATTCTTCTTTTTTATATTATTATTTATTTTAATGCTAGGTTTGATATTGGGGTCAGGTTACATGCAATGTTCTTTATTAGTAGAAATTAATGTACTTTTTTGCGTTTCTATTTTGTTCTAAGTCATGTTTTTTTCTCTAATCAATCAATTTATTTTTTACCTAAAAAGGGCCATCCAAATTTCAGCTTTTTCTCAGCCACTGTTAAAGTGTGCCAAATCAGTCTTATCATAGATAATTCAGATAAGTCTTAAGTAACTTTTGACGAATTATATTTATCTATAGGGAAATGCTGATAAAGATTGAAAAAATCCTATTAACCAAAATTTAAAATTATATTACAATTGCGAATTATGTGCAATATAAACTTAATTATAAGTAATTAAATAAAACATGCATTGGTAAATATCTAGAAAGTGTTTAATCTTGAACATGAGAGCTAATGTATATGTGTGCCTGTTCAACTTATTTACAATCTCTGATGTAACAATAGAGGAAGGAATGATTTTGATATATTTTTTCTTCTATCGTTACCTCAGATGACGTGATAAAACACATGGAAAAACTATGAACATTCACAAAAACATTTAATTTACAATTCAGTAAATTAGGGTTTTTGGATGTGCGGAGTTTATAAGATGCATATGGGTAATTCTATAGAAGGTTTTCAATCTTGAGTATGTAAACTCCTTAGGTACATGTGGCTGTACAAGTTACTTATGATCTCTGAAGTAACAATTGAAGAAGGAATAATATTTTGATCTATTTCTTCTTCAATTGTTACTTCGGATGCCATGATTAAACACTTAGAAAAACTATAAATGATCACATATACATATAACTTACAATTCAATTAATAATGATTCTTGAATAAAAGATGGGTAAGTCTATTCCTATTGTTCAAATGAGATCAATTACTGGTGTGTTCAAAATATTCCCAAAGCTAAATTATAATCTTGTTGTATCTAGATCTAAAAGATGGGCAAAACACAGACAATTGAGTACCATAGCTGATAATAGATCATATCACATATTTTGAATTAGATGCCAGTTTTGAACCTAGACAATATTAGAATATGATATAATCATATTCATGGTTTGGGGTAAGATAACTTTATTCACGATAAGATAAATTAAATTCATATATTTAATTTTGAGTATATTCATAAAGCTACTACTGTGATTGTAAAAATAATAATCTGTTTATTATCATATTGATTGAAGCAATAGAAACTATATTATTAAAAATAAATGATAGTATTGACTAATAACAAGTTAAGTTTTATTTTTACTTTAGTTTATATATTGCTCATTTCCATGTTTTAAAATTATGGTAAAACATGATGATGAAAGGAACAAATTTGAATATCTAATGAGATTTATATATAGTGAAATTCTATACAGCTTGCTATTCAAAATTCACATAAATAGTGAATGCAAAATGCACCAGATACACAGACAGATACATTAATCCATATGTATAAGGTTTATGACTTCTATTAAGAATTAAATGGATAATCTTAGATGGCCAATTAATCTAATTAAGAATTTAAGTAAATATGAGACTTAAAAATTTCATTATTACATTCTCTAGGTGACAGAAGTGTCAAAAAAATAAAATGGGCACTACTTTTTGTGAAATGAAATGAGTTGAAAAGGTGAAATTCTAACACAAAATCTAAGGATGATAAATGGTAAAGAATTTAGTAGTTTAAAAGATATTGTGCCTTATTTTAATTAATTGGCTATGTGCGAAGGCATGGAAGGGGAAGTCAAATCGACCGAAGCGTTCGTAGTGGCTAACTTGAAGCACTAAAAGGGGCTATTATAAACAAAATTTTAAACAAAAACACATAAAATATTTATTTATTTCAAATTTAAATAAGATAATTAAAAATGAGCCACCATATCTGTTGTGTAGTGGGTTGTAGAAATACCAGCAGAAAAAGTGACTGCAAATTCTATACATTTTCTACAGCTAAGTGGAAAGAAAATCAACGGGAAAAGTGGATCGCAGCGGTTAGAAGAATAAAGTAAGTATCATAACCTTATTGTTATAAAAATACAATTTGGAGTATAATGAATAGTTGTAAAATTGTTATGTTTAGCAAAAAGAAAAATTATAAGTCAATAAATTGTTGTATTATCAAAATTTAATGCTTACTTAAAAAATGTTTTGTAAAACAATGTAATTAATACAAGCCTGAAATAATGAAAAATACATATTTATATATTGTATATTGATTATTTATAACTATTATCTATATATTAATTACATTTTATTATATAATAATTGTAATTTTATGATTAAAAGAAAAATAAAAGTTATCACATAGCGAAAAAATGTTTATTTTGCAAACAGTTTAATTAATACAATGCTGAAATTATGCGAAATATATATTTGTAGTGTTGATGGATCACCGTGGGTTCCCAAGCCCTATGATCGCATTTGCAGTGAATCGGTCGAGGTATTGAGTCCTACCTACTTGTCAACTTGGTCTTGTCTTTATAATAATGTCTAAATTATGTCTTTATAATAGTGTCTAAGTCTTTAGTTTGACCAAAAAAATGAGTAAATTAATTTATTATTTACTTATTCTATTGATAAAATATTATTTATCATTATTATATTGTTTTTATTAAGAACTATTCCGAGATTATGACATAAGCTTTGAGGCACTTAACCTTAAAATTATTTACTGCATTTCTTTATTTAATTAATGATTATACTTAACTATGTTTTAAGTACGTTGAAGTAAATTTAATAATTTCAATAAACATTCAGCGTTCACATTATTACTGTATCTTGTTTATTATTATTTATAACAATTATTTAATATCTTTTTTCTTTAACAAACATGTAAAACCCATGAAAAACACACACTGATAGCCCCAATCAGTTCATATTTATTACGGCGCTGCATGGGCGCTGCAGTCACGCTCGGAGCGAATAGTGATAATAATAATCATTGTCTTTCTCTGGTTAACGATATGTTTTTATTATATTAAGTTGGACATCCTGCAAATTGCAAAATACTGTGAACAGATGACTGTCAATTTAAATGCAAATTGCAATGATCATTTAATTTCTTGGATTTTTGTTTATTATGTAGATAGTTTAAATAATAAAAGTGTTAATTTATATACGTGCGTTATTTAAGTGGTAAGATTTTCGGTGCAATTAGTATTATTGGGTATAACATAATTTAATAATTCTCTTGTGAACTGGTTCGACATATTTATTTCAACTACAAGTGTTCCTTCTTTTCAGAAAATATCAAGAAGTTAAAATAGCAAATTATCCAGATTTGATCCTAGCACCACAATTTATAAATTAATCAGGTATTTTTCAATTATTTAGTAATACTTGTTTTAATAGAGCTGTCCGATGAAGTTATTGGTTTTAATTGTATTTCGATTTCAAATTATTGCCTTCATGAGTTATAAAATTGTTATAAAATAATTGAAGGAGCTTTTTGTAATTATTGGCATTATTAGATATAGCTATTTTATCCAATTATGACTAGTTTCTTCAGACATATTTTACATATTTATAATTATATTTTGGATTTATGACATTTGAAATGATTTCTGAATTAACTTTTAAAATATCAATATGCGAGGTTTGCTTAAGATTTATTTGATAAGCAAAGTATTATATTATTTTCTTCATTCGGTTTATTACTGATACTTTCTCATTTTCATCATTATGGGGTTATATCACGCTCTTTATATAGATTTCTTAACACTGCTAAAATATATTAAAACATACATAAAATGTATAGAATATACTGGCATGACTATGTGACAAAAGTACTATAATAATTAATATAGACTCTCAGTTGGTTATATATTTTTATGAAAATATTGATTAATATTTTATGTTATTTTCAAAAGCGGTATGGTTCGTATCTTGTTGGTCTAATATATTTAAAAATACTGTATGACTCGAAAACATACAATTATTATCTCTGTCAATTATCCATAGACATGGCTGACTATTTCCAAGAATTCAACATCCAACCTCTAGCTGATGGGGAAGCTCCCAATCATTTTTTACATGCTGCCAGGCTTTTTAGAGATTATGGAATGTTTGAATTATTAATCGATGGACAAAATCCACCCCCACCAGCAGCAAAAAGTGTAATTGAAAATTTACAAAATAAAGAAATCAAACATGACAAAGAACAATGCACAGTTTGTTTGAGGTTTTTCAAAACAGGTGATACTGGCAAAGAATTACCTTGCAAACATTTCTATCATTCCGAATGCATTGTACCATGGTTGCAAAAAACAAATTCTTGTCCACTATGCAGACATGAATTACCTACAGATGATGAGGTATATGAAGAATATCGAAGGGAAAAGTTACGTTCTGTGCAAAGGGAACAGGATTTAGAAAATTTACATGGTTCTATGTTTGGCTAATTTGATAACCACACATAGAATATATATTTCTTACCAATATTAATATCTTTGATATGTGGTTAAGAAGATTCATTTTAAGATAGTTTTAATGGCATTCAGGAAACATTTATATTAAGTAATTTATAATATATTATCTATTCCAATATGTGTCTAACTTGATACAAATAAATTTATTACATAAAGCATCTTATGTACATAACAATATAAGTTATAACAAAAATTATAGTGTCTTATTAAGTTTAAATTTATTCTATATAATTTCTATATGGAGGAGCCCAAGCTTCTCTTACGCTTTGATTATTAGAATTCGTGATACATTTTTTATTATTTATCTTGCTTGTATGATTTTTTATGTTTTCATGCGCTTTATGTGTCTCTTTTATATCATGTACTAGATTTTCACATAATCGAACTGTGAAAAAATATAGCACTTCAACAACACTCATTAGTGAGAATCCAACAAATAAACTACAAATTCCTCCAAAGTTGCCTAAAATTATTTTCCATGAATAATAATTTATAAAAACATATTTCAAATGAAATGTTTCAAAGGAATACTTACTTACAATTTCATACCAATAATATAAAACGTCCTTACGGTAAAGCATGGTACTTGAAGATCCATAGAATACTCGAATTAAACTTTTGTTCTGTTTGATACTGCTAGGACTGTAAAAATAATACAAGAAGGGTATTACTGATTTAAAAGGATAATTCGAATTCTTAAATTCTTATTTTTTAATATAATTACATAATTAAATAATTTGATTGCAATAGCATCACCAATTTCGAAATATCAAATACACATTTATCCAATTGGAATATACATCCAATTGGAATCCTATTGATATCCTATGATTTATGTATTTGTTATGGAATTTAAACTATAAGATATATAATTCCGAACTCTCAAAAATATACAAATTAGTTGAAACAATTAAAATCAATTTTCTGCTAGTGTAAACTTAGTTTTAAAATAAAATATGAGTAAAATGTTTATTGAAGAACTCAATTATATTCGAAGACGATTTCGCGCACATTCCAGCATTTCTTATAAGTAAAATACGTATTATTTGGACGGTAATAATATTTTTGACTTATTTTTCAGATTATTAAATAAATTTCAAAATTTAAGCTACATGAAACATTAAAATTTTATACTTTACATATATACATAATTTACATATATATATAATATACGTCTTACTTTACTTTCAACAAATATTGTTTTTCAAATAGAAATTAAAGATTTGAGAAAGAAATCGTTTCAATGAATCTGATTAGATTTTGAGTACAGTTGGAATTTTATGCAAATATTAAAAATTAAATTAATATAAATTAAATATAAAATTTATTAACCGTAAGTCGCAGCAAAGTTTGAAAAGTACTTTATGCAGATAGTTATTTTATTATTTAAGTTTATTTAAGATTATTAATTATTATTTTATATTTTTATAAAATTTAAGTTATTATTACAAATATGTGTATAACAATGTAGATATATAAATTATATCACATTTTATACTTATCACATTTATTTTATTTTTGAAAGGTTACTTTTATTTTTATATTAAAATATTGAAGACAACTTCATGGCCTCACTATGGAGGCATGGTCTTACTATGATGTAACAATCTTCAGTCAACATTGTTAATGGTAGTTTACAAACTATCTGTAGTTTGCAAGTTAATGTATCATAGTTTTAATAAATTCTCATGTGTTGATATATATACTAAAGTTAGTAATTTAAAAGAGTTATTTTGTGAAGTGGTTGGACATATTTATATTGTGTTTTTAACAAACATGTGTATGGGAAAAGACTACTGTGACTAAAGGACTTGTGGTGAGTAAATTCATTGCATTTATATTTAAATGGTGGTATTATATATATGAACGGCATTTGAATACTTTTTTCAATAATTATATAGTATTTAAACTTCTGTTTCAATACAAAACAATTTACGTCTAGCAAAAAATAAAATTTCTTCTTCGGGAAGTTAAGAAAGGTGCCATATTACGCTTTGATTATAAGAAATTTGATACTTGGTTCTGTTGAGAGGCAATATATTTCAATAACTCTTAATATTTGTCACAACCCACATGTCTACTGTGAGTTCTTAAATTTTTATCTGGGTTTTTAAATATGTATGTATTTACGTAAATTTTTACATTATTTTTCATTTTTTGTTATATTAAATGGTTTATAAAGTTAATTTTTTTATGTGATTGTTATAATTGATGTGCATAAAGAAGTTAATGATTTAAAATTATATCGATTTGATTTATATTTTCTTACTCTGTGCCATTATCCAAAATGTCTGGTATCATTGGTGCCCAAGTGCCCTGCACTAAATAAGACGTAGATGAACATTGTGGCCAGCATTCTGGACAATTCAAACTATCTTCTTCCTCATGTTCTAATCCTGGTATACCATCCGTTCTTGGTTTAAGTGTGCGCCATTTCACTTTATAGTTAATCAACAAAAATAGTAATTAATTATTTTATTATATTAACTTTGGGACCTAATGAGTAATTATTCATGTGTTGGTCAAAAAGATAGTGATATTAATTGTGAATTTCAATGGTAATAGAACTACTTAAGTCGGACCTACTGCTATTGAAAGATAGTAAAATGTTTTTAATTATGAAAAGTACTTGAACATATTTTCCATAAATTAATTAATATACGTAAAAATTTTGTACCACTGATAACGAAATGTAACTGTTTCTAACTCAGTGGTTTCTAACCTTTTCGTACCGCGCCCACCTGTTAATTGCTGCGCGCACCTCCTTAATATTTCTAACTAAATCTATTTTTATAAATACTCAACCCATATTATAATTCAATAATCAGGCTACAAATTAATATGAAATATTATGACAAAATATACAAAAAAATAATTATCTTTTCATTTATTCTTTATCAATTCAACGACTTTGATTTATATTTTTGGAAATAGTATTTTGAAAGCAGCTGTTCGCTCTTCTTGCAACAACCACGCGACGCTTAAAGGGTCGCGCCCCATAGTTTGGAATCCAAGGCTCTAACTTGTTTATATACTCTTTTTTATTTTTATTATACAAACTATATATATCATAAAAACCAAACAAAGAAAACTATTATCTAGCTTTTCGATAATATCAAATTTTTACTTTGAGGGTAACAATGTGCGGACGATTTTACATGACCATGCATAGATAAAATTAATTTATTTATAATAATAAGAATAATATATATGTACACTTGCCCATGTATTTATTCAGACATTGAATATGTTGCAATGTACAATTAATTGGCTGTGGTACCTCGTCTCGGTCGTCAGGTAAATAAAACAGTTTGCAGCCACATAATGCAAATATACTTCTAACGCGACACATAACAAGGCAATTGCTGTAGCTGTAAACTGATTCATCTTGGTATATGCAACCTTTCTGCAAAAAATATATTGAATATTTATAAAGTAATTTAAATGCTATTTTATAACAAAGATATTTTTGCTCCTAGTAATCATCACTATATTTAAGCCGCGATCGATTTCTTAATCGATTATTTATAATTTAAACAAAATGAGTCCTTGTAACACCAGATGCCCAAATAATTTAGATGTGAGCAAAATATTTTGATGCTATGAATTCAAAAATAATATTTTTTTTAAATTGTGTGTTAACAAATTATTATATCACCTGTTGAGTACTAAAATGTGCAACATCCGGAACGCTTTTGACCGTACTTGCATCAATACGCAAAAATACTTCCGTGTCCGGTGCAACGATTTTTTGCGTTAACCCGCCGCTGGGCATGTCCGGGTAGTCATTTGGGCTGAATATGTGTATCTGTCGAAGAAAAAAAAAAGGCAGTTAATTAAATTTGCATTATTTGGTTAGTAAATAATTTTGGTAGTAAATAGTTATTAAACACAAATACATATATTTTTCTGGATAGCAAATTTTTATTATTAATAATAATTATTTAATTTTTTAGAAATCAAAATCGCACTTCACAATCTTTAGTTGTTCAGTCTACATCCAATATAACTAATTATAATTTTTAGTAAACATATCATTTAATTTTTAATGAGTAATCAACATTACAAATCAAACTGGTAAAAACTAAAACGTGTTCAAATTTTTAAATAATTTATATAGTGTAAAATGTAACAAACTGATATTTTAACATTTTGTATAAAAGGAAAAAATATTAATTAAATATCAACATATTTTTAATGAAAGGAGAAAATTTAGTTCAGAGAACTGAAATCATGTTAAATATATAATTTATTAATAGATTCGGGAGTATAATTTTTGTGTTATGGATCTACAGATATTATTTTTTACCGTAAACCCTTCTGTGTTCATTATTGGATAATAATAATCTTCCAAATCAGGATAAGCTGTGACGATGAGTCCATGCCCTGGACCTGGGGTATCGATAAATCTGCAAAATAAATATGTTTATATATATACAAATATATCGGTATCATTCAAAATTTAAAAAAAAATCAAATTCGAAATTTTACTATTATTGTAAATTATAAATAATATGGATGAGACTGTAATGGTTCATTAGAAACAGTTAGCAACAGATATTTTCAAAAATGTTAAGATAATTGCAACCAATATACTAATACAATATATGTGTATTTTTAAGGTATTCATTTTTTTATGATTTATTTAGTAATTGTACGTAATGTACATGAGTACATGTTTCAATCATTTGTTTTTGTATTTGATTTTTTGGTTTGCTTATGTATTAGTGAAAGAGAGTATCATGATTAAGAAGACGTATGTAATATCAATAGTGTAAATTAGGTATTTTGGTTGTCATACGTGATAAAAATATTAATATATTAAATTATGAACTCATAAATAGATTTAGGGCTCGCCCGTAGGTAAGCGGTTAAGAGCGACGGGACCTGAATCAGAGGTTCCGGGTTCGATACCCACTTCGAGCAGCCTGTTGTCAGGCAGCAGTGACAACGATTTTCACTTGGAAATATAGATAGCAATATGTTTCCAAGTGAAAATAGCCCTCACCCGGCATTGTTGCACCAATGAAAAGTCAGCCCTATTAGATTAATTCTAATAACAAAAATCATCAAATATGGATGGATTAACCATTGGGTTACCACCTAAAAAATACGAAGGAGAAGTTTCAGCCCAACAACTCATAGGACGAAAGGTTCTCATTGCTGTTAAAAAAATATCAAAAAAAAAATAAATAGATTTGGAGATGAAGTTCAAGCAAAAAAATATTTCTAAGCATGTACATTGAATGTGTATTTTTACTAGGTGGAAAGTTATAAAATCCAATATTGAATAGAGGTTGTTACAAAATATTCCATCAAATTATGTTAAAAATTGGCTTTTATACTTATACTCGTATATCTATTTGAATAACAACGTACTTTTCCGTCATATTCAATCCTCTAACATAATTGAAAGTACAACAGAGGCCTTCCATAGTAGGTCTCATGCTGAATAGAGCTCCGCAAAGCTCAGAATATCCATCCCAGGAGCAATCACTTAGCATATCTTCACATTGAGGTGACAGCTAAAATATTAAAATATTTACATTTTTTATTCAACTCTCGAATCACATATCCTACCAGGATATTGAATAAATAAATATAACTTATAAATATAATTTATAAGTTTTTTTTTGTTAGTTTAATTACTTGTTCTTTGTCTGTTCTATTATACTATAAAAAATATGCCCTCATCTTAGTAATGATATTTGTGGTAAACTTTCAATAGTTGATTTTGTACCTCATTAGATGGGTTAGCAGTATCTTAATCATGAAAACCGAGGTTTTTATTTATCTGAACAAAAATGAAACAAATGGTAGAAATTGCTCCAATGAGCAATTGACTATGAGGCACAATTTTTTACATCAAGTATACAGACATTTTTTGCGAAAAGTAGGAATATCGGGCGGAATATCGAGCAAATCAGTCATTATTTAATCATAGTGACTAAATTTTGCTATTCTTAATGGCATTTACTAAAGGTTTGTTTAGATCATGGTTTGATTTTGTTGCTACCAAACCATGGATCAAAAGTAATCGCTCCTAAAGTTTTGGATTATAAGACTTGGACTAGTCCCACATTTGATCTACTAAATTGGATTCTATAAGTCGATTTACCTGTATCATGTGTTCAGAAATATCATACATCCCAGTAGCGTTGTTGACATCATAGGTATCCAAAATATTTTGGAGGGTTGTGAATTGTTCTTGTCCTTCGATATCGTGGTCGTATATTCGACCCATCAAATGCACCAATTCTAACATTTGTGCTTGTTTTAAACCAGCTAGATTAGCCCTGTCACAGAAATTGATAAAGTGTTAGTTATTCTTAAAATAATTGCCATAATAACATTTTATTCATCATGATAAATGGAATCAAGTTGTATATATAGTTGTCTTGCTTTGTTAAAAAATAGGTACATAAAATATAAGTTAAACGGTTTCATCAGATTTTTTATTCCTTACAATTTTTCTGCATATGCTTCAGCTTTCTTTTTACTAATTTTGTTGACGGGACAAATAGCAATAGCAGGAAAGGGCACTTCCCAAATAGGGTACTGTGTGCTCTCTATGGTCGTTGCCGTAGGTTTTGCAACAAAATCGACCCAAATTTGCAAAACAAAGTACACCACACCAGCAATTGCCAAAGAACTAACAATCAGCCACATAATTCTGAAAATATTAATAATAGAAATTCATATTTATTAATTAGATAGTTAAAAAATAAGTTACTCAGTTCATTATTTGAAACAATACTTATGATTGTTCAAAACTTTAATTTTACCTTTCCGTCCAATGTCTTCCATTTTCGACTATATGTATACATCCATTTATAGTTGTGCTTCTCATCAAATCTTTAAAAGTTTTTAATATAGCTCTGCGCCATTCAATAGTATGCAATTCAAACTTCATATTTTATTTTAATTTACCTAATTTATTACATTTTTTTTTTCAAATTTCTCTTTTAATGAATGAATTTATGCATTAGATTGTTTTCAGGTGTTACCTTGATTCACGATTCTTACAAATTAAATCGCAACATTTACAGAAATATATAGATTCTGTGATGATAAAACAATCAGGATAGTTTATTACTTTATAACGTGACAGTGATGGTTTATTTTTCATTAAATATTAAAAGAGTGTAATAAAAATATCTAAATTAGCCGTTCTAAATGATACTTTAATGTGAAGTACTATCTCATGCACTTAAGTATTGAGATTTTTATCGCAGTGACGAATATATTTTAAGGTCAAAAGAAAAATGACAGAAAATTCAATGTTTAATCTAGGAAAATTTCAAAAATATGTTCTAACCAGTTAAAATATTAACAAATTCTTCTTGATAATGTAATTGTATTTACTTTTTTTAGCATGATAAGTTAAGGCCGCTTTTACAACATAAATTGAATAGTAGACAATTTAAAAAAACACCACAATAGTTGTGTTTCAGACAAGATGATAATTTAATATTATTCAACCCTGTGAAAAAAATTTACAATTACTTGATAAACTAGAAACATGTTAAATGTTAAATTAAAATCAATGATACAAAAACGAAGTTATAAGCCTCTAAAATAAATTGTACGACAAATATTGTATATAAAAAGATTGTTCGAAGTCTCGAAGAAACCAGAACAGTTTTGTGTTGATAAATAATGTTGTGAAAATAATGCTTTTGATTGGCTCTTTCATTGCTGTGTATGATAAATGAGTATTGCATTTTTTTTGCAGACTTTAAACAATATTTGTCAACTCTCTGAGAACGTTTCATTATAGATTATTTTATCTTGTACAATGTGCTATATATACAATTATTTTCTTTTACAATAAGTTAATGAATATATATTTATATAGTTATAAAATATATTTTAGTATAAATACTATGTTATAAATTAGTAGATAAAGTTTAAGGTTTTTTATATAGTTATGATGTATTATATAATTGTATATGCTCATTATTATGTTTTTGTTATGCCTTGTTTCTACTTTGGACAAAATATTTATTCACATTTGGCAAAGTATATTATTGCAGATGTCACATGTTTGAAGGGTTCTGTTCAAATATGAAATGTGACATATTTTCTGTTTTCTCATGAATAAATTATGTACTTTTTCTTACAAAAGTGTCGATATTCAATTCGTCATGCGATTACTGTAGGGTTTAGTTGCTAACGAAATCAAACATTACTCCTACTCATTTCCATACAAAGGTACTCATTTTTTGCCAGATTATAGAAATATGGGGTTTTAATAATAGATATTTACTTGTCAGTTGATTGTGACAATGGTGAACTTTGGCCATGATTTGTAGTTCGCGAAAAGGTCAAATGCTAAAAAAATTGTCGGAATATCTGTTATATAATTGAGAAATTGTGATCACTATTTGAAATCGATATAAAAATTGTAGCGGTTTTTAGTATTCGAATACAAATTATGTATTTCATTAAACTGTCTCGCAAAAATATTTTTTTTTATTGTTACTACGAAAAGTATAAGCTAATTTTTAAAAATTTTAAAGTTTTTCTATGCATTTATTACTACTTTACTAACTGTAAAGAAAAACGCATTTCTCAAATTCCCAATCTTTATTATGCTTTATATTTATAAAAATGAATTCAGTTATTAACCGTAACGTTTAATTAATTAATATTATATTTTGCGAGAATGACGATGAAAATTTAATGGATTGCTATTATATATTATAGTTATATGGGTAATATTTTGACACCATAAAAAATTGATCTAAATTATTCGGATTTTGCAGAAAAAAATCTGATATTTAGTATGTTTTTTCATACTGACGTAATAAATATACTATGAATAAATGATCGAAACTACAAATTGTATACTCTTTAATTTTTCAAATTATTATTTTATTTAATCTATCCTTTTTTTATTGATCAATGTAAATAAGCATGAATTTCATGAGTATGCTCACTTGGAAGCTATTTGTTTGCTCAGTTCAATTATTATAATTTTTTTTATTTGCTTTTATGAATTACAATCTGCCGTTGTAAACAACATTCAGTAATAATTATTTTATTTTACAACTTCTAAGTTTTGTTTTGAAGTCATGTTGAAAATGGATAAAGTACATGCAACAAATATTACCCTGACACATGATTTTTATAATTTAAGAAAAATTGGAGTTAAAATCTGCTGAATCATACTTGAATAAATAAATGAATAATTACCTATAAATAAAATCTCCAGTTAAGGTATAATTTTTTTTATTTAACCATTTACATCGATCATAAATACAATATAAATATATACAAATAATCCTATAGAGTACATAATATTTTCTTATGTTAAATTAAAACTTCTTATTTAATAATAAAAGATTTAATGATAAATTCTAATAAATTCAATAATAATTCTAATAAATTTTGCCTGTACATAATTTGGCAATACTTGAACTGCTTAATAAAAAAATTTGGTTGAAATCATAAATTTATAAAACAAACAAATATTTATAAAAAAATATTAATTTGTAATATTTTTTTTAAGCTTATCCCTAAAAATATTTCATATTTAGAATATTTATATTTAATAAATTAAAATAAAAATTTGAATATAATAAATTAAATTTATTTCAAAAAATATACTTACTACTTATATTCTAAAAGTTTATAATTTAGAAAGACTAGTTGACGTACAGAAATAAATTCATATTCATATATCTATTTACACATTATATTTATATAAAAGGTCAATGATAATAAAATTATATATTTATTCTATAAAACCGGTCAGTTATATAAAACGTTAAAACTTCTATAAATACATTAAAACAGTAATTTTTATACTTAAGTAATACATCGTGAAAAAAATAGTCTCAATAGTCAATCATTTTCATATATACATACATAATTATACATACACATCTTTATATAGAACTATTTTTATTTTATTAAAGTAAATTATTTTAAGTTTTATTACATATAAGGCACGCTCGTGAAAATCTTATAAAATATTTAATCGTTTTTATTTTTTGTGTACTCGCTTGATTCAATATCCGTCTCCGTTTCTCCTTGAATCATTTCTTCGAAATCTTCATGTTTATCATCAAAAATGTCGTTGTGTTTTATATATTTTTTAATATTGTCTGTGATTTCGTTACTTGCCTCCGTGTCTTGCATTAATTTCTTCTCATTTTCCATCTTGAGTTTTAATTGCTCCTCTGCCATTTTCTTTTCCATTTTTTCTATGTATCCAGGCAGCCAGAAAATTGCTTGGATTAATCTGAAAAAGATTAAGAATAATTTTAAAACAAAATTCAAAAACATTATTTTTACAACTAGAATTAGAATTTTTGAAAGAAAATTGAATAAGTATTTCAGATATAATTCTTAGCACCTCGTCTAAATAATTTTTTAAGAACAATTTGTTACTTTTTTAGATTATTATTTCATGTTAGGTTTTATTCTATTTATTATGTTTGATTTGGTAACTAATAAGTGAAAAAAAGTTAAGAAAAATCTCATGAGTGAAACTCGACAATAATCTCATGTGTGGCACGACTAAGACGACTAGACGATAAACGTAATAGAACTTTTTCAATGAACTTTTTTTTTTGAATGAAATTTTAGTAATTGTTGATTATAAGCCAACTTAATAAAAATTTAATTAATGCCAAAGATTTTCTTTAAATTTAAATGCATTAATTATCATAATCTTATACTCATTGAGGGTACGACTTCAGCAACCTTTAGGTACTTTTATCATTTCAGAACTTAGTACAATATTAGTTTAGTATAATATGTACTATAGTCTAATTTTAATTTCTATTTCCGTGTCTAACTTTATTTAAACTTCGAAAAACGAAACACAATTCCTACATGAGGTTTTTAGGGGAAGCGGGGGGTTTTACAAAAAATCACGAAATATCACGTGGGGAGGGAGGGATTTTTTTTTAAAAATGCCCTCCATGGAAAAATAACATTTTCCAAAAAATCAAAAAATTCACAATTTTTTCTTGTAACTAAAAATACATGTAATGTTTGGCGGGGGTTTGGAGGAGAGGTTAATTTTGAATATCACCACGTATTTCCAAGGGGGTGTCCAAAAATCCTGAAAAAAATCAATCACTAAATTTATTTTCAATTCATGTTCAATTAATAAACGCCCCTTGAAGCATTTTTGAAAATTAATTCCAGTTTGAACTCTTGTATACTATTATTGGAAGATATTCAGTAATTGTTTTGTAACTGAACGAACTCCATTAGGAGTAAACCCAGTAGTTGTGATATATTTTTAACATACTTAATATTTAATAATTTTGGATATAAATATTCTTGAAGTAAAACAGAAATTTTCACTTGTTATGACATTTTAAATTTGTTATAATATTGCACTAGTTATACTGCTTGATATGAAGTTGACCGACGTAAATATTGATCAGTGGTTGCTAATACACGCATTCTTTACAGGGAGAGACAACCTATTTAGTATATTAATCTAATTTTTATGATTTTAGTCTAACAAGTAACTATATATGCACGTATAAAATTTGAAGTTCATGGGGCACATAAAAGTAATTTAGATTAAATTATTGTATAATTTTTTACCATATTTTTTTAAATCTATTTCTATCAAAATATATATTATAATAATTGAATCAATTATTAATTAATGAGATGCATTTTATATTTTTTCAATATTTAATTATTTTAATTAACTATTATTACCTGAGTAATACCCGTACGGCAATAATTAGTCCGATGCAGCCGCAAGACACCGTCAACATGTACCAACTATCTACTGTAACTTTTTGTGGCCTCATCGTATCTGAAACAATTAATAATTATTGATAATTTATAATAATTACATACGATTATCAACAATAATGAGTTAAATTGAAACTCATTTGAGATGAAATTGATTTCAATTTAGCTATGCAGATAATTGATAATAAACTAATCTAAATAAACCGTAGTTCATCATACAGCTTTATTTGATTTTGTATTATTAATTATCTGTATAATATGAATATTCCTATATTTCTATTAACTGTTTAAACTATGTGTATTCAATTAACATAAATTTTAACACACCATTATTTTAAATATTGTCTGGCAGTTCATAAACACAAAATTTCAAAATAAATTTAAAATTAATGCTAAATTAAAAAAATAATAGAATGATATAAGTTATCACATCATTTCCCAATACAAATTCAAACTGAATAGCAATTCATATTAGAATATATATAGCATATTTATATTAGAATTGGTAAGCTATAGATACTATATAATTTTATTATTTTTCTAATTTTACCTAAATTTAAAATTTATTTTTAAGTTTTATATTCATTGCTTAATTATAAATCAATATTTATTGCTTTTATTTCTTTGTGGTGTGAAATGATAAATGACACTGTGTGAATATCGAAACCTACATACTAAATAACTTCAAGTGTTGATTTATTTTATTTAAAAAATTTGGCTGCGAAAAATATGAACAAAAATGCATTTTTGTTTATACAAAGTGTCCCAGAACTCAACGTCTAGCCGAAACGGGGTGATGGTATTGAATATTGATCATAAATGTGATAAAAAAAAATATCTCATGTAGCTTAAAATGAGCTTTCACGTGCAACCTTGTAAGCTCGTCAAGGTAAAAATGTGACTCTTTTTCGGTGATTATGATCAATTTTATTAATTTTCTTTATTCATGCCCTGTATCCATTTTCTAAGACCCCTAATGAAAATAATGACTCAATGCCTAAAGATTTCAAGAATTAAGACGTTTTGTTAAACTTAGTTGTTTGAAATTTTCAAAATTGTTCGACTGTTGAGAGGTCCTCCTCTATTGTATGTTAGCAATTTTTATCAATGGTTGGCGCATTTAATTAGAATTGTAAAATTTACCAAAGCCCTATATCAGTGGTTTCCAACCTTTTTTGCACCGCGCCCCCTGCTTTAATAAAAAAATGTTGCGCCCCCCACCCCCCCTTTAATTTTTTCAGCAGTTTAATTTTATAAATACTCAACTGATATTAACATACTACAAATTAATATGCAATATAATATTGCATATTTGTAAAAATATGCATAAAAACTAATTATTTTTTGTTCATTTTTTTATATCGTTCCAAAAACAGTGGGTAATTATTGATAATAGTATTGAACACATGGAACCAGAAGTTGGAAACCGCTGCCTATCTACTCAATTTACTCATAAACTCATAGTTCTCAAACTACATGAGATCTTTTTTTTCTATTATTTTTCATGACAGTTATGATCAATACTGCCACATCGTTTGATCTGATGTTGAGTTCTGGAACAGCCTGTGCGTATACACACACACACACATATATATATATATATAACATTGATCACTTGCATACATAATAAAAATCAAATCTATCAAATCAAATATTCAATTAATTGTACTTCTATAATTATACTTTTGTCTAATGTTCAAAATTTAGGTGTTTGTTTCAACCTTAAACAATCAAATTATAATGTCATAATCTATAAGTTAAAGATATAGACATTAAAAAGTAAAACAAAAAAAAGATTGTAAAATATAAATAAATTCAAGCAAAAAAAAAATAAGACAAGAAATAAAATTATAGATAATCCGTGTGCAAAGTTTTTCCGTACAGTTAAAATTATGATAAAACTTTTTCGTACCTATTATTTGTAATCTAGAATCTGTTCAATACACTATTGAAATATATATTTCAAATATATTTGCACAATTTAACACTGTCCAAAATTTAACAATGTCTATCTGTTGCTTCAAAAAGCCGGCAATAAAAATACCTGATTAATCGACTACCGATAACTAAGGCGCGCTTGCCTGAAATGACCGAGTCAGTCTCTTGGTGAAAAAGGATTCGACATTTATGTTTGCGATGATCTATTTCCATGGCGACAATTATTGATTTCTGGAAAAATTGATGATAATGGCACGTGTCATATATCATATAACATAATTTGCAGGACCGAAAATAATACTTCTATGGAAAACCACTACATTTTACCATACTAATATAGATTATACTCAAGTACGAAAGAAGAATGTGGAAAATCAAAATCATTTGAAAGGGCAAAAAATTAAAAAATATTTAATTTTACATTACATCTTATAACTGCTGATTTAAGGGGGTATTCATGGGGTATTCTAGTGTAGAGCAATGAATTTTAGGTCATTTTTAAAGTGTCTTAAAAGGAAGCAATAAATGTTTTTACTATCGATTTTTTAAGACTTGTTTATTAATATTATTAAGATACAAAACAAAAATTAAAAAAAAAACTTGAAAATTGAAAAAACTGGCAGCTGATGAAGCGGGGGGTCTCAAAAAATTGGCACCTCAGCCTTGGCATAATTTCAGCTGCCCTATCTCCAAAAATAATTCAAATTTTCAAAAATCTTCTTGTACCCATATTCCTAGATAGTTAAACTTCGGCAATATGAAACTAAAAAAAATCGATTTTTTTTTAAATTTTACACTAGAATACCCCTTTAAATATATACCTATATGTGTAACTAGGGCTTCCTCGTGAGTAAGTGGCTAGAACGACTCGACCTGAATCAAAGGTCCGGGTTCGATTCCACTGCGAGCAACCTGTTGTAAAACAGTAGTGAGAATGATTTTCACTTGGAAATATAGATAGCAATATGTTTTTAAGTCAAAATAGCTCTCACCCGGCGTTGCTGCACCAATAAGAATAATTGCTCTATTACGTAATAATAATATATCATACAGAGATAGAACAACTGTTTGGGTTGCCATTTGCAGAACAGACTAGAGTATTAAGTTGAATAGCACAATATCTTATAGGACTCTAATTCTGATTGATGTTTGAAAATTATATAAAAAAATATGTGGAACTTTATACTTTTTAGGTTTTGCATTTTCTATTTTTATCTGGAAACTGATACAAAATAACGTTTTTCCATTTTTGATAGATGAGCGATCAAAACTTACGGGTTCTATGAGCTATTTATCTCTATGTAATACTGGCGATTTTTTTAATTTTAAGCTGGTGAAAGCTTTTTCCGCTTAGGAAATTGTTGCTATCTATATTTCCAAGTGAAATTCGATTTCACTAGTGCTTGACATCAGGCTACTATTCGAGGTGGTACTTTTGATTCAAAGCCCACAGCTCTAACTACTAGATCACGGGCACTTTATATAATAAGCCCTTTTATTTCCTTTTGTTTTGAATATTTTCTACAATTCATGCAAATGCAAATGCGTAACACTGTTGACAATGTAATTATTAAATTATGAAAATTATGAAATTTTTTAAAATAAATTTGATGCGTTTTATATAGGTCATCTATAAATATAGATATATATTTCATAAAAATATTATATATAGATACACGTCTGATTCGATTCTGTTGAATGAAAATGCATTATGAAGCGTATAAAACACATACATTTTCATATAAATGTCGATTACTATGTATTGATAGAATGTCACATACAGTAGTTTTGATAATAGATTTTGTATAATCAATGCGAAAATTCTGCCATATATATATATATATATATATATATATATATATTATGTATATATGTATACATCATTACTAATGATACAATTTGAATGTTGTCATCCATTAACGTGTTTTGTTGAAAAAAAATATCAACATATTGATATTATTATAGATTCTCTGATAAGCTAAACTAAACTAATTTTATTCCAAGATTAATCCTCACACAGTGAAATTTCATAATGAGTAAAAAATCAATCATTTTAATCAATTATTCATCTTTTGTTTACACTTTTTTATTTATCAATTATTCACTTCATTAATTTTTTTAGTACTTTATGATCTTTTATATAAAACTTAGAATCAAGAATATTTTAAGTGGAATATAAGTAATTAAGAACACTCGCATGTTTTTATAAAAAAAAATAAAAACATATAATATAACATGTTAATAATTTACATAATTACTTTTAAAAAGAGTAGTTCATTTTGCAATGAAACAATGAAAGACACCATGTATGGGATTATTATTTATTCATATTGCATAGAGAACAATTAAAAAATTAGAAAAAGAATTATTGACCTAAATATTAGTTTATATAATTATATATTATATAAAAATAAGTGATTTTAAAAATGGTTCATGGTTCTAAGTAATTCAAATAGTTCATGATAAATTACTCAAAAAATGTTTATATAAATTAATTAAAAATAAAGACAAATAAAGTCTCACTAATTTCGATAGAATGACCTGAAATCAACGCGGTATTCTCAGAACACACAAGTAGTCCTGCCTGTTATCAAAATTAGTGCATTTATTTTGTACATTTTTTATTACACCAAATATGATAAAAATTTTGATAATGTTGTATTTCCCATACATTAATAAAATTTTAAAATGTTATCAATTTGTTAATGACCCCAGAAGTTCATGCAACATGGAATAACCATGTTATAGAACCTTTCTGTCAATAAATTTCCCGATTAAATTGTGCGAAATATTTGTAAGTTCCAGTTTTGTATATAAATTAATATTTTGGGCCAGTGGACATCATTACAATATTAGACGTTGATGTATAAATTTACTAATTTGAAATAAATATAGTGAAAGTAAATTTTTCATAGTGCAATATGAAGATTACAAACTTTGTATTTGTGACGGTTTTCGTGTCTGTGATGTTTGTTTATGTGCAATGCAAATCGTTATCAAATGAAAATTTTGATTTGAATTTAGAGAATCGAGAAAGCCAAATTTTGACCCGCAATATACTTAAGGTATGTACCAAAATATTTTAATTATTTTTGTTACTTACAATTTTGATTATCAA